AAAAAAAAAAAAAAAAAAAAAAAAAAAAAAAAAAAAGAACCATGCCCACTCTAAAAAACATCAAGGCATGATGGGGAGAAGAATAACTAAGAGAGGGTAGATATAATGTTGGTAGGGATGGTGACAATTGGATATGAAATAAGAAAGAAGTATGCTTGCTGGATCTGAGATTTCTGGCTTGGAAAACTGAATGTATAATGTTCCCATGTATTAAAAGAAACTGAGCCAGGTGTGGTGGTGCACACCTGTAATTCCAGCGCTGAGGAGACTGAGGCAGGGAAAGAGAGAGAGGGAGAGAGAACAGAAGGAGAGGTGGAAAGAGGACAGAGGGAGAGAGGGAAAGAGAGAGAGAGGGGGAGAGAGAGAGGAGAGGAGAGGGGAGGAGAAGAGAGTGGAGGGAAGGGGGGGAGAGCAGAGAAGAGATATATAGATACATGAGTCCTGGAAGCTGATGAGTGCAGTGTGTTGGGAAAGACCCGTGCATGTACCCAGTCCTTCCACTCCCACTTGTACACACAGGAGCAGGTCTTGGGCTGTTGATTGGGGATATGCACTTTAGCCCCCTGTAATGCGAGCATCACACAACTAGCCTGCCCCATTGTGGTATTTTCCCTTTCCCTGCACAGAGAGGTGATAGTGTCCTTCTGCAGCATAAGAAGGGTGCAGGTGGCCAACTGCCCTCGGTTGAATGTCTAGTGGACCTTTGTATGGGTCACAGATTCACACTACTGATGCTGATCTATGGGGGAATGATACACACTATTGAATCTGATCTCTTATTTTTCTCTGCAGTGAGGATTGAACCTTCACACCGAGCTACATTCTCAATGCTTTTGAATTTTTTATTTTGAGGCAAGGATTGCCTACATCGGGCTCAAACTTGTGATCCTTGTCTCAGCCTCCCAGTGGATGGCATTACAGATGTATACCACCATGCCTAGCTGAAAGCCGATCTTGTTCTATATCTTCATGGAAGTAAAGTGTCATTCCAGCCAGTCCTTTACAATGTTGTTTTTCCACTAGTGGCACTGATACCCGGTTGAAAGGAGTTTAGAGTCCCCCTTATGAATTGGTAACACACGCACAGTATTCAGCTTCCTTAGGATTGATAATGGACATACAGTATTCTGTCACACAATTCTGCTTACCTCAGTGTGACAGAAATTCACAGAGTTTATTATACACTGTGGAAATGAGAAAAGATGTAAAGGAGGCCCTAAGTGATAGAAGAATGTTATTGCTTTTTAAAAATTTTTGATTGACTTTAATTTTAATTTTGATTATTGTTTTGAATAATAATTATGCATATGTGTGGATACTGTGTGATGATTCAAAAATACATGTATGCATTGTACCATTACAAGATCAGTGGAAATATATCTATCACCCAAAATATTTATCATTTCTTTATCTTGAGAATATTCAAAATGTTCTCTTCTAACAATTTGCCTATGCTCTCTTCTAACATCTAGATATTTATTAACTATTGTCACCTCATTGTGCAATACAACACCAGAATTCTTTTCCTCCTGTAGCATTAGGTGGGCGGCCTTGAAGGACTGTGGGGCCCAAGTGGCTCTCCACCTTCCCTCAGGTGTTTCCAAGTTCTTCACTTCTACTCTAGTGAAAAACGGGGCAGTGGGTCAAGCAAGACTGGTTCAGCCAGAAGGTTCCCAGCAGAGAATGGGAAAGTAGGGGCAGCAGAGAATGAGGAAGTCATAAATAAAAGTAATGCAAGGCAAAGGTTTATGCATAACATCAAAAGAGTGCAGGGGAAAGCTGCCAGGTAGCAGAATGTACCCACAAGGTGGGGGGAACTTGGCTAAATCCTCCAAAGGGGACCATGGTACTCATACGTACAGGGTCAAACTGGTTTCTAAACATGATTGTTTCACTGATTGGTGGAATCTAGGCCAATAAGGTCCTAGCCTTTATTTCCGGGTTGAGGGGGCTCAGGAGTTATAGCAAGTACATGGTAGAGTTTCATCAGGAGTAGCTTCCTCATTAATAGTACATGATAAGCATACAGCAAACTCACAACCAGCTACCCAGGTCCCGCCCTATGTGATCCCTTCCTACATCCAGCAATATTGCCCTATACTCTTAACTGTAGAGTTGGACTTGTTCATAAACTTCTTCCCATCCTCCCTATTTCCCTACTATCCCCAGCTTCTTATCACCACTATTCTACTCTCATTGCTATGACACCAACTTTTCCATGTTCCATAAGTGAGTGAAATCCTACATGAGGCATTTCTTTTTCTGTGCCTAACATAAAATGTCCTCAAAACTCATCCATATGGTCACACTGAGAGGACTTTATCCTTTTTAATGGTTACATAGGATTCCATTGCATATACAGTATATGCCACATTTTTTTCCGTTGTTGTTTCTATTTGTTTTGTGTCACATTTTTGTTCTCCATTCATTTGTTGATGAACATCTATGTTGATTCCATGTGTTGGCTTTTGTGAATACTTCTTAGACAAATGTGAGAATACAGATGTCTATTCATCATGCTGATTTTTTTTCCTCTGGATATTCACCTAATAGTGGGTAAATCTTTGTTGAAGCAGCCTCTTAAAGAACTGAGCTAAGGGGCAGGCCCCCTAAATCTCTGAAGAACTTCCACACTGTTTTCTATAATCATTCTATAATTTACATTTCCACCAACAATATGCAAGGATTCACTTTTCTCCACATTCCTGGCCATCACTATCATTTAAAAAAAAAAATAAGACCAATTCTCACTGGAAAGAAGAAAATAAAGGCAATCGGCAAGAGAACTGAACTGACATTCCTCAAAAGAAGACATGTAAATAGTGAAATATATACAGGTATACCTTGAAAGATTGCTGGGTTGGCGAGATAGCTCAACAGCATAAAGTGCCTGCTTAGGCAACTTTAGGAAAGCATAGGCAAGTGCAGGGACTTCGTGGTTTGATCCCCAGCACCACATGCCCACCAGCCCCGCCCCCAAGGTGGACTGAGCCAGTCATGCACACACACAAAAAAAAGATTGCATAACATCACCAGTGGCTGGGCAAATATAAATTAAAATTATAAGATAAGATTGACATTTTAGGGCCAGCCAAATAGCTCAGCAGATTAAAGTGCCTACAAGCAGGCTCAGGGGCCAGGGGTTTGATCCCCAGGCCTGTCATGCTGGCCCCACCCCTGGGGCAAGCTGAGATGGCAGTTGAGACAGGGTGTGGTGACACATGCCTGTAATCCCAGCTCTTGGGAGGCTGTCTGATCTAGTAGTGAGACCCTGAACACCCTGTAGACCCTTCCCTAAAATTAAAAAAAAATTGACATTTTATAATAACCTCAGTCCTACTTTTTAATTTTAGAAGCTTTTATTCAAGAAAAAGGCTGAATCTTAAAATTGTGTTCATAACATATAAATAACTCATATAACTTGATAAGAAGACAAATAAACCAATAAAAACAGTCAAAACATTTGGACAAAGTCTTCAATAAAGTATGATGCTACCTATTTGAACCATATACTTTATTTATTTATTATTTATTAACTTATTTATTTATTTGGGGGCATACAGGGAACCGAACTCAGGACCTCACTCTTGCCAAGCAGGCTCTGTGCCACTGGGCTAAATCCCTGTCCCCAAACTATACACTTTAACTAACTCAATTTTATTCTATGCAAACTAAATCTAAGTGGAACTGTTTTCAAAATTTTAATATTAAAATCTCAGCAAAATATTTGAGGAGACATTTGCGAAGGGATTACACATGGATGATCAAAATCACATGAAAAATTTCTTAGTAACATTAGGAATCATCAAAAGGCATATGAAGCAGGATGATGTAACATTGATGAGTCAATAATGTGACAGGCAAACAAGAAAAGAGACCTCATGGGTGTGTCTTGGAGGAGGAGAAAAAAATGGATGGCCTGATTTAAATAGCAGAGAACAGCAAGGGCTGCTTAGAGAGCTGAGGAGCTGCCCCATAAGAGAGACCTCTCACTGGGATTCGCACTTGGCTTCAGACAAAGCAGCTGGGAACCTTCATCAAGGTAAGAAAAGTATGTGTTGAGATACATAATATTCTTCACAACATTCCACATGCCTGAGACAGATGCTCATCCTTTGGGCATGAGAATGCTACAAGACAATGTATATGCAAAGGTTTTCCAAGAGGTAAGTAGGCATATATATTTTATAGCAACATGTAACATATTAACTATTGTTATTTGCCTATTATTTTGTTTTACCTTTTTTCCATAAAATAAAATATATAAAAAGGGATAATAAAGAAATTAATTTGCTCATTCAAATGAAAGACTCAGAACACAAGCTTATAAAATATATAGGGATAAAATCTAGATCAAAGTCTCCTGGGGCAAGGGACAGGAATGAGGATTCAATGTAGAATATGAGGGTCTTAATGCAGCAATAATAATGTTCTAAGATGAGCTGATGATTGTACCACTTGGCAGTGCTTCTAAAAAATCATTGGTTTTTACATCTAAATTGTATATAATATAAAATGGGCTTTAATAAGTTGCTTTCTTCAAAACAAAATGACTCCTCACCAATAAATGTAATCATTATGTACTACAAAGATGTACAAATAAAATTTTAAAAACAAACTTATAAATCAGATTTAATTGGAGTTGCAAAGTGATCATTTAAAATAATTTTTTCTCATTAACTTTATTGAAAATCAGTAATTATATAGCATATTAAAAATTGTAGACAAATATTGAAATGTGAAAGATATAGGATGTAGACAGAGTGAATTTTAGAGAATTATTTCTGAAATGAATACATAGCAGGAGATTAATAGATTTCACATTGTAAATAATTTACAAACTTAAATGAATATAACAATAAAAATCGTCCAAAATAAAAATGGAGAAGAATTTACAGATCAGTCATATAATAGTTCACTCTGTGCCAAAATCAAGAAACATATTCATATAATTAGAATTCTAAAAGTAGAAAGGGATAGGCAATAAATATTCAAAGATTTAAAATTTCTGAATTTAGTTGAAATTATAGCACCACATTTCCAAGAAAAATGAACCTTTTTCACAAGAAATTTGAATAAAATCATACCAAGATACAAAAAAAGAAGTTGTCCAAAACTAATTGTAAAGAAAAAAATCATTAAAGCATATACATAGAAAAAATATTAGCTATGGAAGAACAAAATTAAATAGCATCTTATTCCACATTAGAAAAAAAAGAGCAAGTGTGTAAGAATCTAGATTAATTAATTCAAAGGACTGAAAAAAAGGTCTGTCCTCACTGAGTTTTATGCTTAGCAAACACACCTTTAAAAACTAAAAGTAAAATATTTTCCAGTTATACAAACTCAAAATATTCTAATAACTCCAGACGTAGCATACAGAAAATAACAAAAAGCATAATTCAGAAGACAAGAGAAGTTGCTGTATGGTCCTGGATAAAGATTAAAGAGCTCTCAAAAAGGTAGTTGTGCAGGACTAAATGATTTAAAATATGCCAGGCAGAGTGGTACAATCCTATAAATCACAATGTTCTGGAGGTTGAGGCAGCAAGATTGCCATAAATTTGAGGCCAGCCTGGGCCACAGGATGAGTTCAAAACTAGTTTGAAACATGTAGCAAGACCTTGTCTAAGAAACAAAGAAAAAAAATATAAATATATGTATATGCTTAAACTATACATTGCAAAAAATGCTGAAAAGCAATCAGCTCTCAAGTGTTCTGTGTACACACGTGGTCTTTTCTAAGGATGCTTCTGCCTGAGAAATACCAGTATTCTGCCTAAGTAAAATTTCATTTCCCATCTCCTCTTTTTGTTAGCTGAACTCAGAAAGAAACAACGTCACAGTTTTCTTCCATCCTTAATTTTACTGTGGGGTGTTGACACAGAATGAAGGAGTATGCCAGGTGCAACAAAAAGACTGCTCTAAAATTGGTTACTGGTGTGGGGCTGGGGAGATGGCTCAGTGGAATAATTGCTTCCCTGGCAAGCACAGGGGCCTGGGTTCAATCCCCCATTCTGCAAAAAAATAAAAATAAAAAAATGAAATTGGTTACTGGCATGCCTCCTTTTATGAATAATGTCTCAGGGTTTCTTATCATAATTTGGGAAAAAGCAGAGTATTAGAGATTAAGTGTTTTCACCTGTTTTAAGATATTCTAAGGTTTGATACACTGCACTACAGCAGTGGATACACTGATAATTCTTATTGAAGGGCTCCATCTTTCCACAACTCAACTCTGTGTTATATAAGAGCAAAGCAACTGCAGCCCTGACACAAAATACAGTGTTTGAAGTAGCTGTTGGCCAGGGATGTAGCTTAACAGACTGTGTGCTGGCCTAGCAAGCATAGGCACCCATTCCGGATCCATTCCTGGTACTGTATGCAGTGCCGGCCCTGCCTCAGACGCAGCCACCAAAACTAGGTGTGGTGGCACACACCTGTGATCCCAGCTCCGGCTGAAATGGGGATCACGAGTGCTACCTGTGTAGTGAGACCCTGAACCAAATACATAATATTTTTTTAAAAAAAGAAAGTAGCTGTCTCAGGAGCTTAAATGTATGCAGCTTTTTCAGCTCTTTCCAGCTCTCATCCATAGGTTGTTATTATGCAGGATGAAAATTACCTTTGAACAAATGAAGCCAAACTGTTCAGTGATGCTGATGTGTGGACATTGTCAAATTTTTCAAGATATTTTGGATAAAAGTTATAAACAGAAATTTCACTTGACTTCAGATTCAATATGAGTTGAATGGGAAAGTAGTGCAAGTCCACTTTACTGAGTCCTATTATAGGATCTATAATTCTATATTCCGTTCCACCACCACCAGCCCCATGTGGGCCCTTGAGTCAGCCCAGCCTCATGCTCTGTTGGCAATCACACCCCCACTCTCTTGACACTGATTACCTCTTCTCATCTCCCAGTTCCTCACTCTCAGCTCATGGCCTCACCTCCTATTTTGCAATATAGCTCCTTACTGACTGAGGTCTCAGGGCTTCTTATCTTTACCTTAATTTGGTTAAGAGTAGAAATTAAGTGTATTCAGCTGGGATGACATGTTCTGAATTCTGATACATTGAAAAGACGAAAGATTTATACAATCTGAAGAGAAACCAGAGTATGAATTCTGATATATTGAGAATTGACAATTCTCATGTAAGAACCCCATCTTACCTGAGAAAATAAAAAAGCTGATACTTGTAGGTTATGGGAATGGAAGCCCTCAGTCTACAGTTCTTCGTGACAGCAGGACAAACTAATATAGTGGGTCCAGCATGAGTCACCAACTAGCACTGGACATTTAGAAGCAGCAGTACACAGATAAGCCTTATGAAAGGAAGCCAGTTCTCAGGTCTTTGCATTCCCCTCTCCCCCAACCAAGATCACTGTATTTCTAGGTCCATCCAGCAAATACCAAGAAGGATTTGGACAAAGACTCACTGACGCTGTGAGCCAAATCAGCCTGTCCACTTATTTGTTTAGTATCTTCTCAGCAGTAGCTACTTTGTGATTAACCTACAATGCAATGGTTAACATCCATGTAGTGTATGCTCACCCTATTAGTCCATCTACATGTCTCTTCCCCAAACCTTCTTATATCTGACTCCCTGATGTTGCACTCCTCCCCAGGCCCAACGGATAGGCCAAACCATGTGTTCCTGCTCAGAAGCCCATGGATACCTATGATATGAAAAGGGGTAAATTTAGTTTTTATAGCTTGTAACACAGTGCCCCTAAAACTCTTACAGTCTCTTAAATTATATGAGTGTCTCCTATATGTAAATGATACAATAATTGGTAATTTGAAGTCCCTAGTTACAAGATGTTCACCACCAGACCAAGTCAAGGTTAGAGGATCACAACCTGCAACCTTACTTTCCAATATATGAGGGGATAGAAGAGGATGAGCCTGAGAAAATAAAAAAGCTGATACTTGTAGGTTATGGGAATAGCCTATAATGTACTCTGCCCAGATCAGCTAACAAGCTGTACTCCTCAAGTTTCTACCTATCAGAAGGCACTGTCCTTGGCATTCTCTTTTAGGGCCATTCCTCTGTCAGTCTATAGTAACCATCAGTGGTCATTCAATGCTTGTATCAATGTATCATATCTGTTCATCTATTTACCCATAGCCTGGGATCAGTTTCCTTCCTCCTTTGCCATTTGGCCAGAGGGACAGTGCCCCTAAAGTGTGAGTATAAACTGAGGGAGTGGCATCAGTACAACAACAAAAAGAGACAAGCAGTCTGTGGTACCTGCTTGTGTAACTTACTCTGCACCTCCGTAGGCCTGATCTCTATTGCACCACTTCCTATTAATCATGGATTGCTCATGCCCCCTGCTAAACGTTATCATTTACAGAATGGAACTTTCTAATCACACAACTTATGTATGATATGATAGGCTGCTTTAGTCCACTGTCCTTTCATACCATGTAGTAACTTGTTTAATCTACTAGGAAATCAGGACTTTTTTTTCTGCATTTAGCATAGTCTTGCTTCAGAATCCTAAACTTTTACACTAAAATTCCCTGAGGGACTTACCAAAGATTCTACACAGATTTTTACCAGCTCACATATGTATGACTCCGTGTAATCTTCTAGGTTCTGTGGCCCAGGAGGCAGACTGTTTATACATCTTCACTTGCTGGAGAGCCATCTTTTACCCTCAGGTCCACACAATACTTACAGCCTTCACAATCACCCAATAAATGGATTGGAGTAGAATTTCCACACATTGTATAATATATGTCATCCCCCAAGTCTCAAGAGAACTACTAAATTTTGAGTGACTGTTTCAACATGTATAGACCAGTGGAACCCTAAAGCCCAACCTTGTGATAGATGGCTGGATCTTTGGCTTTAAAGTTTGCATTAAAAGTACTTATCTGCTTTGATAATAACTTAAGTAAATGCTATAACAGAAGTAAGTGCTACAATAAGGGAATTGGTTTTATGTAAGTACATAGCTATTTATTCTTGGAATTTGAGAAGATCTTAACTTACATACCAGGAAATCATAAATTTACCTTGTACACAAAGCCACACAACCACCCAGAGAGTGAACATTTAAAAGCAACAAAGGCTACTTTACAGTAAATATTTTGAGACCAAAGCTGAACTGACACAACTGAAAGACTGAGGAAAGAGCCTGATCGGCTGAGATTACTGAATCTGACCCATGGACTGAGTGAGGACCCAAAAAAAAAAAATATAAGGGGGCTGGGGTTTGATCCCTGGCCAGTCAGGGGTTCAATCCCTGGCCTGCTGGGGATTTAATCTCTAGTCTGCCATGCCAGCCCTGTCCCCAGGGCATGCTGAGATGGTGAATGAGACTGGGCATGGTGGGGCATACCTGTAATCCCAGAGTTTAGGAGGCTGAAAAACAAGAAAGATCACTACAAGTCCGATCTGTGTAGTGAGACCCTGTAGACCTTGTACTAAATAAATAAAAAAATTAAAATTAAATAAAAATTATATCACTGCCACAATATATTCAAATATTCATTCAACAAATACCAATAAGCAATAAAGACCCCTTGCAAGAACTGTAAGTCCAACACAGTCCCTAGGAATGAGTGAGATAAATATTTCAAGAGAAGTAAGAATGGGACCACTGTGCCACATAGACAAGATAATAAATCCAAAAGTTTTGTGGGGATTACGTGTCTTCATGTGCTAAAAACAAAGATGAACATAAGAGAAGAGGCTACAGGTGACAAGCAGCCAGAGAAGAGCTTTGCAAGTAGGCATGGGGTGTGTGCCAAGAGTTCAGGGGAGAAGCCCACAGGATAAAAGGATAAAATCAGCCCTCAGCAGCCACAAAGTAACTTGAAAAGCCTTTTTACATCTGGCTCTTAATAGATTTGGTCATCTCACAAACCTCTGAACTACCCATTGACTATCTAGAAAATCTCAATGAATAGGCAGTTATTGAACCTCTATGCATATGTTATGATTTGACTCCAGATGACAAAAGCCTTTGTAACTAGTTTAAAAGAAGAGATTTAATATAAGAAATTTTGTGTTCATAAAGCCATCAGAAGGGTTTGAAATGTAGGTGCTGAGTTTCCCATAATGGCTCCTGGACCATCCCAGCTCTCCTCCATGCAGAGGAGATGTTATTCCATGTCTGTACTTACAGGACCTGCTTGCTGGAGCTGCCTGCCATCGGAAGGCCTCACTCCCAGGACTGAGCTCACCAAGAGGAAGACCAAGCAGAAAGCGCCATGTTTCGATTTGGGACGCTGAAAACCCTCTTGCCTCAGGCATTTCCACTCCTTGTGAGAAACACCAGCAGTGAGACCAACGGTAGGCCTAAACTGGCCAACAAAGTCGCTGTGGTCACAGGATCCACCTCTGGGTGAGAACAACTCTTTGGGAGCTCTGGAATCATGACAGCCTTTTGATTTTGTTAACCTTCTTGACTTAGCCTGATTCCCACAAAGCAAAGCCGCCAAAGCTGAAGTACCAGTAGTTTTTGGAGAATGAGATCCTAAGGGAATAAAGCGACAAGAAAAGAAAACAAAAACCAGATATATCCAGGATAGGAAGTGTTACCAAAATGGTCCTTCTATAGGCCCTTGGTGATGGGTCCACAGTTCCAGCATGAATCATGAACTGCACTTTAGAAACACCCCCCCCAGGGAAAGGGAGAAGGAATTCAGCCATTGCACTATCCCTCCCCTCCCTTAGTTAATACTCACACTACATAAGTTATGCTACATTGTAGTATCAGCAGGGGTCCAAGAAGCTAGGGGTCTTCCATGAAAAGACCCTTCATTTTCAGGTTCATTCCCTCATCCCAACAAAGAATGAAGGAGGGGGCAAGGCTGGCTTAAAGCCAAGAGCCTCTGGCTGAAAATAGGGAAATCAGGTCTACAAAGAATGAAGAAGTCAGAAATGAAAGTAGTACAAAACAGAGATTTACTTATAATATTGCTAAGGCGAGTACAAAGCTGCAGGGCAGCAAGCCACACAGCAGGGAGAGCTCACAATGAGTTTCTCAAAGGTCAAAGATCCCTGTACATATACTTTTAGGGGTAAACTCATCACTAAAAATTAACTGTTTCACTAATTGATGTATGTTAAACATCAATTAGTGTCTTAGCCCTGGTTGTTGGGGTGAGTTAAAGGTTATGAGGTCTTCACTGATTGGTGTACTCTAAGCCAGTCAGGGTCTTAGCCTTGATTACTGTGGTAAGCTGTTGTTGGGGTGAGCTACTGATCATGGTGGGGGTCTAGGAGCATAGAGCAAATACATGCAAACTGGCCCCTAAAAATAACTGTTCTAGTTAGTGCTTAAATTTTTTCTTTTAATTTTTTTACCAATTTTTCATGCTTATATCTGGCAATCTGAACAACTAATGTGAAGACAATATGCAATATGACAACCCTTGTTGAATTCTCATAATCTTATTTAATGAAATTCTGTATCGTTTCTAATGTTGTTTTATTATTCTTTTATTTTCTTTAAAAAATAATTTTTAAAAATGAATATAAAAAAGAAATGTTCCACTCCTACAAAGGCTTCATAAAGGGCAATTTCCAGTATCAAGTGGTCCTTTCTATGACCATGTGCTACATGACCCACACCACAGCAGCCACTCTATGCCCAAACCCCTGGCTAGCTCCCCCTCTAACTGTTACTATATAATAACCCCATCCTTCTAAGCTGCCTGCCTGAGAGCACTCAGAGGATGCATAGCCCTGAGAAAAGAAGCCCTAAGATTGCAGCTGCCAAGCAGACCAAAGCTTTGAGAAACTGGGAAAGAGTTGGCACCATACTAGTTCCAGTAAGTGTAGGGTCAAGTACCTCTGTGATGCAGTACACAGAGGGTACGATAGACCCTTCTTTACATCTTCTGTTCATCTTACCATCCATGAGCAGGACATGGTGTTAGCTTCTCTGGGTTAGGGGAGAAAATTCATTTGGAACCTTAAGGTGAGAAATATAGCAAGCAAGCAAGAGCTCATTGGCTGGTGGAAATGGAAATGTAAATTAGTACAAGCACCATAGAAATCTCTGTGGAGATTTCTCAAAAAACTGAAAACAATCTATTTGACCCAGCTATTCCCTTTGTAGGTATCTTCTGCAAAGAGTTAAAGGCATCATATTACAAGGATATATTCATCCCCATGTCTACAGCACTGCAATTTGTATCAGCTCAAGTTTGGAAACAGGCCTATCAACAGATGAATGGATAAAGAAAATGTAGTATATAAACATAAAGGAATACTACTCTGCCCTAAAAAGATAAACTTGAGGCATTAGAAAGTAAATGGATGCAATTTGAGATCATGATATTAAGTGAAATAAGGCAGACACACAAGCTTAAATATCACATGGTTTTTCTTAAGTGAAAAACTCAAAAATATATACATTTATATAAACAGCAAAACAGAAAATGTGGGCTGGGGAGATGGCTCAGAGGAATAAGCGCTTCCCTGGCAAGCTCAAGGGCCTGAGTTCACTCCCTGGTTCAGAAAAAAAAAAGAAAATGTATGAATAGGAAATAGGGAGATCTTTTTCAAATGGCTAAGGAAACAAGAGAGGAAGAGAGGAGAAAGGGAGGGGACGGAAAGGGAGAGAAGGGAGTGGCAGAAAAGGGACTGAGGGGGAAATGATAAAAACGGGGCTTATACAAAAATAAAGTGAACCAAGAATTCAAAGGGATTTTTAAAAGATGTACTATATACATATGCCAATTCTCCCACAACAAATGTAATTATTGTGTACTACGTACATATACTGGAAAAAAAAAAAAAAAAGACTCAGCCCCGGGATGCAATGTCACACCCTCTCCATTTCTCTGCCCACAGGATTGGCTTCGCCATCTCACGGCGTCTGGCGCAGGACGGGGCCCATGTGGTCATCAGCAGCCGGAAGCAGCAGAACGTGGACCGTGCAGTGGCCACACTGAGGGGGGAGGGGCTGAGTGTGACTGGAACCGTGTGCCACGTGGGGAAGGCCGAGGATCGGGACCGGCTGGTGGCCAAGGTGAGGGAGTAGAGGAGTTCTAGCTGGGGATTAGAGGATCGTGCACATTAGCACAGGCTACAGCCTCCATTACATGAATCAAATCTACTGTATGTCTCTCAGCTCTGGTCAGCTCACAGACGCTTCTAAACAACTTAGACAGAGGAAAACCACGGAGGGAGCAAGATGTTGGGGTGAAGCAGGGGTCTCTTTCCTGCTGCGTAAGAGCCAGGCAGGCCCTCAGGTCCTTGAGGAAAACTGAGGAGGTCAGTCATACGGTTACAAGGAATTCTGGTTTTCAGTCAAAGCCACAATGTTCAGGAAAACAGATACAACGTGACATTCCAAGAAACAGCGGCGGTGAGGCGTTAAGGAACTGGGGGCCAAGAGTGCCAAGGATTAAGAGGACAGCCAGTAAAAGAAACAGGGCTGAAGCTTCACCCTTCATTGCTCACAGGCTCAGGACGCAGCTGTTAAGAAGAGAAAATGGTTTTCCGTCCCTGCTTGGAGGTGTTCCTCCCTCCGATTTGACCCAGACATAACCCACTGACAGCAAACAGGAATTACCTGTTCGCAGACCTTTCTCTTCTTCACTGCTGTCCTCCATGTCTTCTTCTCCCCTACAGGCACTGAAACACTGTGGAGGCGTGGACTTCCTGGTGTGCACAGCAGGCGTCAACCCCTTGGTGGGGAGTACTCTGGGGACCAGCGAGCAGATCTGGGACAAGGTGAGAACTGGGGATGATGGCAGGAAGGGGGTGAGACTCCATCCTCCCCCACATACCCAAGCCCACACACCTGTCAACATAAGCTCCTTAGCACAGAGCAAGGTCAGGTGCCTAGACTCTGTGAACCTCAATTCCCTACTGTGGGATGGAAGGAGGGGCGCCTGAATTGCAGTTTTTGCCTGTTGTTCAAGAGCTCCTAGTCTGCTGGTCCTGTCCAGTTATGAAACACGTGGAGCTCAGAAAAAAGAGATGATTCTCTTTCTTGTCTGCTTCCCCTAGCAGAACTATGCTGCCTGTGCTCTTGCCTGCTGTACTTCCTAATCCAGTGAGAACACTGGACTGTCTTTTAACCCTCACCCCTCTTTTGCTCTGATTTCAGATCATGGACATCAATGTGAAGTCCCCTGCCCTCCTTCTGAGCCAGCTACTGCCCCACATGGAGAAGAGAGGGTAAGGGTGGGGAAGGGGAACAGAGAGGGGGTCCTTCCTTTTGAACAGGAAGCTGGGAAGTGAGGATAAGAGCATCTAGTTTTAAATTAGGCATCCCTACTTAGAAACAGGCTGAGTAGAGCCAGTGATAAAAGAATGATGACCGTTTGACTTTCAGATTCAGTCACCTAAAAACCAAAGAATTCAATCTATAAGTGTGCCTCGGAATTAGATCTAGTGTACAGAGACTGGGAAGTCCCAGCAGGAAGAAGGATGAGGGATCCACTGAAAGAGAAGCTGGAGTTCCTACAACTGTCCTAGAATCACAAAAATAGAAGTGGCCTCTCCTGGGCTGTAGAGGCACCACCCTGATGACCTGCAGCCTGTGTACCTGTGGCGGAGCAAGATGCCCAGCCTGTGATGTGGAGTGGGCCTCTGGTACCCAGCCATGTTCTCTCCACCTAATCCCCATTCTGATCCAGGGCACCTCTGCAAGGTCTGGCTTCTCTTAATAACTGACATATTTTATCGTGTAAGTTAATGCTCACAACAGTTCTGCCTAGCAAAAGACATTCACTAAAGAGCATTGTAAGTGATGTACTTCAGGAGGAAGTACATAGAAATATCCCGTGTGGAAAATCTGAAAGAGAAACAAGATGCAACACACAGAACACACTAACATGTGAGCGGATTTAAATGCCTAAGGTAAAAAAACAATAATGGTGTTTGCAGGGTTAAAAATTTTCAGGACAAAAAGAGTAATATTCAAATCAGGAAGACAGAAATGTCTGTTATAATATTTTTATATTGTTGAGATAGGGTTTGAAAATTGATTATAGCCAAGCATGATGGCACACACCAATCATCCCAGCACTCTGGAGGCTGAGCAGAAGGACTGCTGTGTGTTCGTGAGGATTTCATGGGCTACATAGTGAGATCAAAGCCAGCATGAACTACAGAGTGAGACACTGCCTAAAAAGAAGAAAGGAAAGAAAAGAAAAACTTTGATTTTCTAGACAAGCCTGTTCTGTTTTCTGGAATAACAACTATAAGAATAGCAAGAGAGTATGTAGTGTATGTTCAAAGTAATGGAGGAAGAAGTTGAAATAGAAAAAATAATCTAGAACAAAATTCATAAGAAAAAAACTAGTGCAATTAAAAATGATCACAAAATTGAATATTAGATGTTAATGCCAATATACCAGTAACTGCAGTTAAAATATAAAGATAATCAAGCTCGAATACATAATCAAATTAAAATTCTTCAGCTGGGCCCCACAGCATATGTCTATAGTCCTAGTGCTCAGGAAGCTGGGGCAGGAGGATTTTAGATTCAAGTTCAAGGCTCAAGACAAATTAGCGAGACTTTGTCTTGCCCCACCCCTCACACAAAGGTTTTTAATCTTATTAGATAATCATGGCATGTTTCACCAAATTTTTCATTTTCATTGACTGAGTCTATAGTGCTAGGAAAAATATTAGTATGATGGTTATAGTTCTGGGAAGACCTATGAATCAAGATATTGTTTAAAGTAGGATAGATTATGACATTTATTGAATATAGACATAGACAATAGTGTCTTTTGCTAAGCACTGTTGTTTGCAATCCTTTGGCAGAATGAAGTTTCTTTTTTTTTTTTTTTTTTGAAGACGGCATACGAGATGTTGCGGCGTGACTGGAGTTCAGACGTGTGCTCTTCCGATCTTTTTTTTTTGGTGGAACCAGGGATTGAACTCATGCCCTTGCCAGGCAAGTGCTTATTCTGAGCCATCTCCCCAGCCCCTACAATCTTGAAAGATATAGTTTTCCATAGGTCTAAGCATCTACCTGGCAAGCACCATGTTCTGGGTTTGATCCCCAGTACTGCATGCCATGCCACCATGCTGCCATGGCACTCACTGAAACCAGATGTAGTGGCACACACTTGTAATCCCAGCACTGGGGAGGCTGAGACAGGAGGATCACTAGGAGTCTGAGCTGTGTAGCAAGACCCTGTACTAAGTAAATAAGAATTTTTTTCTTTTTTCTTTTGTGGGACTGGGGATTGAGCTCAGGACCCTGTACTTGTCAGGCAAGAGCTTATTCTACTGAGCTATCTCCCCGGCCCCAAGAATTTTAAAAAGTAGAACAGATAAACCATAGTTTATCTGCACACAGGTTCTGTGCTCAGCTGTTCAATTTGGAACACACATCTTAAATCTCTGTTAAAGACAATGAAGAATTATATCTTTCAGGATAATAATAGTGCTTAGCAAAAGACAGCATAGTCTGTATTCAATAAATGCCAAAACTGAAATATGCTGGGGAAAAATTAAATACGAAGAAGTAGAAGAAAGGAAATAATGTAGAGCAGAAACCAAAAGAAAAGAAAACAAAATACAATATAAGGATCAAGAAAGGCAAAAGTTTATTTAAACACAAAATAGTAACCATTATCAGGAATTAAAAACAAAATCACCACTAGAGATCCCAAAGGCAACAGAAAGAATATGATTAACAGAAACTTTTATAACTTGAAATCATTGTAAAACAAACTTTTTAAAAAGTATTACACCTTACCAAAACTAACTCAAGAGATAGACAGTGAGACCAGTGATATTACCGTGCAATAAATGTAATCCCCAGTAAGTTGTTCCAAAAAAGCAAAACACAAGCCCAAACACAGACAGCTTCTCTGGCAATATAATTTGAGAGGTGTAATAGACACTGAAAGGAAAATGGAGATACCTCCCTCTGCGAAGGCCTAACTATTCTCACTCTCAATCACACAAGGTGACCTTCTTTGGCTCCCACCTCATCCCTCTTTCTTTTCCAGACAAGGTTCAGTGATCATGGTGTCCTCGGTTGCAGCCTATCTCCCAATTGCTGTAAGTAGGACTATATCTGTGGCTCCCTATTTGGGTCCCAAAAATTCTCCCCTTTCACTTGTAAAAAGTTTCACAATTGCTCCCTCGGGACTATTCATGTATGCAGTGATCACTGTGTGTCACAGCTTTTGTCTTTATATAAATTCACTTAGTGAGAGCATCTTGCCCTCTCTATGGGACAATCAGGAAGTATTACTAGGATGATTGCCTGAGCAAAACTCGGGAAATTAAAGCAACTCTTCTTTGTCCTCATTCAGGCCTATTAATTGATTTCCCTTTCTGTCCACAGAAGCTGGGAGTTTACAACGTCAGTAAAACAGCCCTGGTGGCCCTCACCAAGACTCTGGCAATAGAACTAGCACCAAAGAACATCCGGGTGAACGGCCTCCTACCAGGACTCATAGAAACAGAGTTTAGCAAAGTGGTAAGGTCCAAGGGCAGCAACTCCTCCTACCCTGCTGAGCAGCAGTGTAACTACTGCCCTGAAGGCCTTGTCCCATAGATCTAGGCTCCAACATTTAACCTGTTGAGTCCTGTTCTGATGTTCTGGTCAGTCTTTGAGATCTGCTGAGATGCAGCCTCAGACCTCTATCAAAGGCCATCTCGTAGTGTCTTCCAACAACTCTTTAGACTCAGCCTTTGAGATGTACAGCCCATGTGACCCATCTGCAAAAGCAACACTAACCTCTTGACCTTTCCTTTAGCTCTCTGAAGACAGAGATTTTGTGGGACATCTCAACAAATTTTACAAAATGCAGAGGTAAGTTATGGCTTGAATTAACATGACCTCATAACTTTTTTAAAGGGTAAAAAGTCCCAGAGCATCCCTCTGCAGACTTTCTTCCCCAGATATGACAATTCCCCCAGGCCTAGGATGACCTCTGCAGTTCTTTATGGGCCATGCATGATTTCAGTTTTACCTTTTCGCTTATCTTCCCAGGGTCTTGATTTGTGGCACATGGGAACCAGGGACTATGGGTGAAATGTCACCAGACTCCTTCTCACTTTCTCTCTCCATACAGATTGGGACAGCCTGAGGATTGTGCTGGGCTTGTGTCCTTCCTGTGCTCCTCAGATGCCAGCTACATCACTGGTGAGAACATCGTGGTGGCCGGCTTCTCCCCCCAGATCTGAGGGGCCTCTCCATGCAGGAGCCCCATGTGCCTGTGCTCCGAGTGTGTACATTTAAATTGAAATCTTCACTGACAGAAATAATAAAGAACATCAGAAAAGCACCCTGTTGGTGTGAAACTATCATTGAAACCAGTTAACACAATGTCAGCTTTACTAGAGCAACAAAATATGTGCTTAAGTCTCTGATAAACACAAAGAGCTAAAATTAGTCTGGAAGACAACATATGTTGTGTTCTAAACATTTCTATGAGCTTAATGTTTTGATCTCTAATTCTTCATATGAGAAAGCCAAGAGAGTGGTCTAAGGACAGTGTCCTGAGTACACACACAGGGGCTCAGAGCAAGTTGAACCTCCATTTGCTTATAAAAAGGAGAAGAGATTAGCATGGAATTGTATCTGAGGAAAAGACCAGTCACCAGGGTCCTCATTTTCCTTTTGGAACCCTAGCCTATAAGACTAGATCTGTCTACCTGCACTCACACCGTTCAACCTTCCACAAATATATGCTCAAGCAGTAACTAGTGTCTCATACAATGTATGCTGGACCACTAGAGCCTGAAATACAGGAACAATGGCAACCCTGGGAGGGTCCTTCCTGTATCTCTATGGTCAACACTGGGTTCACAAACATTCTGGTGGGCAATTCTTATGCACACTATAAGCTTCCTACCAATGGCACACCCTCTACATGGAAGAATTTAGGGCCTGCACGGCACTCATAAGCAATGAGTGGTGAGACCTGAGAGATCTGTACCCCAGCTGTATGCTTCCTGGTGAGACAATGTTTCCTGTCATACAATTTCTCAGAAAAGGCTCAGCAGTGAGCACTCTCATATACAGAGAGAGAGAGAGAGAGAGATAACCTGATAATTTGCTCTTACAAATACCATTCCTTGACTTCCCTCCCCTCCTCCTCCTCCTCTTCTTCTTTTTCTTCCTCCTCCTCCTCCTCCTCCTCCTCCTCCTTCTTCTTCTTCTTCTTCTTCTTCTTCTTCTTCTTCTTCTTCTTCTCTCTCTCTCTC